AAAAAAAAAAAAATGTTACGTTCAAAAAGATGCGCGGTTATACCGAAAATTCGTAGAATACACAACTATAGGAATTTGAACGTTTTACACGGAAAATTTGGTATAGAGTTTAAACATCGATTGAAATCCTCAGGATTCTGAAAGTATCAAATTTTCTGAATCTGGATGATACGTTTTAAGGTTTGAGCTTTCTTTGGACACCTAATAATTCAGTCAATTAATATTTTGATTATATTATTGGAATTCGTCTAATGACAATTTTAACTGTTACTACTTCCATAAATCAGTGCCTCGATACAACTGAAGGGGAAACATTTGCGCAGAACGAGACGCGAGAGAACAAAGTACCATTTTATAAAGCAACCTTGAACGAAGCGGCAACGACTAAAGACCATTATGGAATAAAACCGCGAACGTATATCGAAAATCCGCGATTCAATCTCCGTCGAGCTTTCTTGGAATCTGGAAAATCGGATCGCTCGTGTTGTCAAGAGACTTCCTCCTCTCATGGTAATCTAGTGGTCCATGACCCTAACCTATCCTAATCTATCTCAACCGCGGGGAGGTTAACCCCTGACCGCGAGGTCAGCACTGGTTGGCACCCGTTTTCACCCCGAACCAACAAATGACGGTAAACAAACTGGCGGTCCTCTTCCGGAAAGCTACTTGTTAATGAGAAAACCAGAAAAACTGTGAAAGAAAAATGGACCACCAATGGATGCAGCTAGGATAGAAGGAGATATTCCACCTATAACATGGAAGAAATGTGGAATGTTTCATTTGCTCTAGAGGTTACTAGAAGTATATTGATATAACGCCCGCCATTTTGAAACGATCGATAACATCTTTGAGTTTGATACATATAAAACAACTATCGAAACTTAGGTAATTGCGAGAGACGTTCGGAGATAACTGATTCTTCATTAACCTATCGAGACATTATTCTATTGTGTTGAGAAATTTTCTTAAAGAAATAGATACGTATATGTGCAAATTTCTAAAATTAAGAGGCCACATTGTGTTAATCGTTTGATATGTCTTTCAGTATTTGGTTCTTAATGGATTAAAAAAAGAAGCCTACTACATTTAGGATAGACTAAATGAATGCCCTGATTATAAAATGAAGCTGGTATTTATTAATCACGTGCACGAGAAACTAAATTATATCATATCTCGTAGATTTCGTTACAAGTCGATTTTCATAAACCTTAACAAATAGGATTTGTGACGATGTCTGACAAGCGAGCTGATGCATTTTCATAACTTTCGGCATTTCCGCCAGCAAGTAAATGAGAAAAAAGAAGTAAGAGGAAGAAGGAAGAGTTCCGTGGCCACCACTTCAAATATTATACGCCGTGGCCGCAACAATGGAAAATAATATCAGTTGCCTGGCAACGCTCTATCAAGAGATTGAAAATTTCGACTTTTCCTCATTTTCCTCCGTCTTCTCCCTTTTCTCCGATCTTACTCCATATCTTTTAACAACCACTTTTTACAAAATAGCTTTCTCTTAAGCATCTCCCTCATTCTCTTCTCACTCAGCTTTGTTCTTTTTCGTAACTTCTTCGAACAAGATGAGAAATGATCGATACTGGATTCGAAGTTAACAAGAACCAAAAGACCAGAAAGAAACGAAGAAGCAAAGACCGGGTAAGAAAAGAGATTTTTCTCTTCTCTCTGTGCCTCTGGAATACATCTGTATCTGTGTGTTCGACACTGAGGAGAGAGAAATGATAAAGAGATAGAGATAGAGGGGGAGAGGGGGAGAAAGAGCAGAGAGACAGAGAGACAGAGACAGAGAGAGACCAATAATATGTGGCGGAGGAGAGACGAAAAGGACGGTAGAACAAGAGGGGAGGGATCAATGCCGGTTGCCAGGGCAACCACGGCACCTGATCTTCATCCATCCTGGACCATACTTCTCAGTCCTGCCCCGTTCACGGGAACGAACTGGGACGAAGTGTTCTTTAGGATGGACCGATTTCTAGAGGTTGAGATTGTGTCTCAGATTGAAACCGAAACGAGGAAAACGTAGGAACACTGTCAACCTCATCCAATTGAGCTCATCCAATTCAGACCTCGTGTACACTCCGTTTTTGGATATTGACAATGGAAACCAAGTTAGAGGAGTATCTCACGTAGTACTTTACAAATGAAGGAAATTTAATTGAGAAAATCATACGAATATGCTTCAAATCTACTTTTATCTCTATATAGATTCAATAACGCTTGGTCCTTACACAGTATTCAAGTTTCTTTTTATTTTCTTGATTACAACTCCAACAAGCATCTTTTACAAGTACACTAACGTTTCATCCTACAACTGAGAAATATGGATAGTCAATGATAAAAGACACGTGCTTCTTGTTGAATCACTCACGACTACGTATAAGATTTTGCAGAACAAGCACTATAGTCAGCGAAAACAGCAATACTGCAATAACTTCCTCCTATTCCTACCAACGATTGAGCGCCAAAGCCAACCTAACATGTCTGTCCCTCTCAAAACATATATCTATCGTAGATTCTTATCTTTCCCCATTAACAAAATTAATCAATTTCTGCCTAAGGAAAGACTCGGCAAAGAGAGAGAAAAAAATGGCAAAAACCATCAGTTTGAAAGGAATTCAGCCGCAGAGAAGCTACTACGCTAGTCAAGAGTCAGTCGTTTCCAGGAGCCTTACTGCGCATGCTTTTGCGCATCGGGCGAATAGACGTCTGCTTCTCTCTTTTTTTTTTTCTTTTTTTCAACTGTTCGTTCGTACGGCGCAGTATTCCGTTTGTTCGCAAAGATGATTTATTTATCTTGATTTATCTTTCGTATCGGAGAATCGATCCGACTGACAAAATAATCGTGCTGGCGAGAGATATAAATGATTAGTCGCGATTCTGCTTGGTTGCGTAGAGTAAACGCGAACGCTCGCTTTTCTGCGCATCAGCGCGAGTTTTGGCGGGTCGATGCGCCATTGTTGCCCCGGCGGCTGCGTCCGCTTTGTTTTCATCTCTCTCTCTCTTGTTCCTGTTTCTCTGCCCGTACCGTTGTGGTCCTCCCGCTCTCGACGGCTCTCTCTCTCATTTCACCATTTTTCACTCGACGCTCTCTCACCCAACCACCTCTAGTCCTCTAGTTGTTCGTTAATGAAAAATAATAAATCCAAAACTATTGAGAGAAAGAGGGAGAGGAAAAAGAGGAAAGAGAACGACGCGGGAACGTTACAAAAGCGACGAATTCCATTTTTTACCTCACGTTTGCATTCTCCCTTTTTTTAAAACAAAATGTATTGGTTTTTCAGATAATCGCAAGTTGTTTGGTGATGAACGCAAGAGAAAAACTTTACAACAAACTTTTCAACTTTTTAAATCACCCTTCACACGGACTGTACAGCACATTCTTGGTTTCCTTGCTACTTTGTAATAAAATTATTAGTCCACTGATTCTTTTTAATAAGAAATAAATCGAAGAATCATAGATTAATGGAAATCCGTGCGAATATATCTTTCGACTAGACGATCGTAGAAACATGCGATATTTAAATATAGTATTTGCATGAATTCGGTTACGAAATGGGATAAGAAAGTAGAAAAGGGATATCTGATGTGCAGTAGTAGATAATATTATATCGTTTCGTTTTAATCGAAGATATCATTCATTTTTTCATGGTTAGACAGCTATCATAGCTTCGCGTGAAGAACTTTCTAATAGTTTACTAATATAGTTTACTACAGTTTGATAAGAAAGGGAAACGAATTGAACGTGCATAATGAAAAGATTATTTCATAATAATTCAACGATACTTGCATTTCATGGAACATATATTAAACTGTTATTGCATGATATCAACAAGAAAGCATCAACTGTTTGCAACATTATTATTATCTTTTTTTTTGTGTTTTCCAATAAAA